CCCCAAAACCCCAAAACCCCAAAACCCCTCTTGACATTTTTTTAAATATCGATTGAGTTAATAAGATTAATTTGAAAATAATACATCATATAATTGGTTATTCTATGTCTTCCTCTACATTAACAGACTCTGACTTACGTTTGACGTCTCACTCTAACAGTTCCCCAGCTCCTTGGATTGTTAAGCTCCCATCTTCATTTATAACTACTTTTTCTTCTTCTGAAGCGTAGAGAATTTTCAAAGCATTTGCAGTTAGGTCGTTATTTAGGGCTGGGTTAGCTTAAAGATAGACTTCAATATCACGAAGTTTACTGAAATAAAAGTCTCTTTCCTTTTCCAGGGTCTCCATGTTAACCTTCATTTCTACTACCTCACCTTGCAATTATTGTATCTTCATTTCTCCACTTCCCATACTTGCATTACCTCCTGAGGACTTAAGACCTGGAGTAAGTTTTTATGGCTAGGAAACAGCTGATTTTTAAGCAGATGGTTTGTTAGGTAGTTTACTGCCAACTCCAGCATTACCGCCTACTTTGCCTCCTCCTAAAATATAGTATAGATCCTAACCTTTACGTCTTCCAGCAGCATCATATGGCTCTCCATTATAGTTAATGTCATAGTATCTCTTGAGCCATTGTAAGAACTCAAGATTATCTTAATATTTAGCTTTAACTAGCTTATCTACATCGATATATCTCTTAATTTCGTTCTTTGCGAATGCTTATTGTAACACCTTGTAATTCTCTACGAATTCATAATCATGCTTTGCATTCCATCTAACTTTTGCCATACTAACTGTTCCAGGAAAAACTGCATCAATAATTTGGCAGTAAAGAGCTCCTGTTGCGCATTATTCAACTTTAGTTAAACTTAAACCGAAGGTATCATTTGCCCAAGAGAGTAGTTCACCTCTTCCCACAAAGAATGCCCCTTCCATCATTCCAATTGCATCACCCGACATTGCTTAAAATTTAAATTGAATTAGATTTTCCAATTAATCATAATCAATCTTATTCCCTCAAAAGGGGTTTTGGGGTTTTGGGGTTTTGGGGCTGACTTTT